TTCCTCCCTCCGGAGGCGGCCGCTCCCGCAGGGTGCGCCCGCCGCACCCACACCGCACCCGCGCCGCCGGGCACTCCCCCGAACGGCGCCCCCCCTCGCTTTCCCGAAGGGCTGCAGCCTCTGGCTGGCAACGGCACATTCACTTGTGCCAGGTCAGACTTGCGAGAACCACCGCGAGAGGCACAGGCCACACTGCCTATCCATGGCCTTTTCGTTGAGCAGTCTACGCGGTCACGAACATATTATCTTGTTTTGCGCTACGCGCACATATAAACGCTGCCCTCGGCATGTCTATCAGTAAGTTGAGTGCGCTACTCTATCATCGATGAGCAGCCACTATACAGATGTCCCCACTATACAGGTGTACGGACAGACCCGACTCACACACCTTCAGTCATCTGGTGGCGAGAGACCGTGTTTGCCGCCCGCACACTCTTGCTGTGAGGGCCCACCTGGGGCTAGGTCCGAGGTCAAGCTGCGGGGCATACTCTCCTCGTAACCAGCAAACTGTGTGGGACGCCTGCATTCCTGCTTCGCCCGGGAGAGGAGCACCGCTGGTCCTCGCATTCCGCAGCCACCCAGCATAAGGTTTTCGGCAACGCTGTGTGCCCATTAGTTTGCCTGTAGTTCGACCAATCTTCACGACGTCACCTCACGGTAATGGGTAACGTATAACCATTTGTATCATTCATTTAATTTCATTTCTGTACAATTTATATACTTCATTTGTCATATCATCCCATAAACGTAGAATAGAAATTTAGTATTAATAAATCGTATGTGGAATGAAATTCGTGTAAATTTGTCATCCCCCGCCCCCCCCCCCCCCCGGGCACCTCACGGCCCGGTGGGGTGTAAAAATACGTTGTATAGAGAAGGGCCGTTCAGTCTGCTAACGCCCCCCTCTCCGTTCCAGGTATTCTTCCCCCTTCTCTGTACACCATGGATCGACAAAATTTTCCGATTTTCGACATGACACAAATTTTTCTGAAAACCAGAGACCTAGCCCAAATTTTTATGGCGAATACAGTGGTGATACCCGTTTTCCGATTAGAAGCTTAGTTTTTCAGGAAATCGCAAAACCTTCGCTATAATCGTGAATGTCCACCCAAAGGATGCGTAGAAATCTGCAATTTAAAGCGGTTCGTTAACAAATAGAAACTTCATTTAACACTCAATTTAAAGAGTAGAGTACACACAATGTCGTGTGAAAATTTCAGGGCTGTACTTTTAATAGTTATGGAGGTAGAGCCTATTTAGTTTCACTTTTATTTGAGGAGCTTTGAGATTTCGTAAATACACACTTTCAAGTCAATGTACCTAGAGGGTCATTTCTCATCCGTATATGACAAATGATGACATTTTCTGAAACTACATGAATTTATAAACATGTCAGTGTTTGTAGAATTGACAATAGTTGCATTGTTTTTTAGATATTCGAGTTTCTTTTTTGTGTTAAAAAATGTATAGTTTTGTCGATCAAACTTTACATATTTTTAATGGAATTTTTCCTTCAATCAGAACCTGCTTGAAATGGACATTTTTTACACTATTTGGAAGAAATTGACGTTTATGGTGATACTTTACGATTTTGTAAACAACTAAGCTTCTAATCGGAAAATGGGTATCACCAGTGAATTTCCCATAAAATTTGTTATGTCCGTGGTGTTATGAAAAATCTGTGACATGTCAAAAATCGGAAAATTTGGTCGATCAAAATGGATCGACGAAACTTTAACACAAAAATTAAACCAACATATTTCACACACTATGTAACATAGATCTATTCTCGTTTTCTGTTTTATAGGTTCCTCGTGTTCTCTTTTTTTCGTGTTTTTGTTTTCTCTTTTCCTCGTGTTTTCGTTTTCTTTTATCTCGCTTTCTCGTAATTTCGTTGTCTCGTTTTCTCTTTCCCTGGTTTTCGTTTCTTGAGTTTTAGTTTTCTCGTTTTGCGTCTTCTCGTTTTCTGGTTCTCTCATTTCCTCGTATTCTTGATTTCGTAATTTCTCGTGTTCCCGTTCTCTTCCTTTTCTCGTTTTCTCTTTTTCAAGTTTTCTTCTTTTTCTCATTTCCCTTTGTCTTTGTTTCCGTTTTGTCTTTTCTCGATTTTTTTTATTTTTAGTTTTCTTCGTGTTTTTTGTTTTCTTCCTTTCACTGGTTTTTCGTTTTCTCTTTTTTCTGTGTTGTTTTCGTTGTTTCTCGTATTTTGTTCGTTTTTCTCGTCGTGTCCTTCGTTTTCTAGTTAACTCATTTTCTCGTTCCGTGTTCTATTCTTGTGTTTTTGGTTTCGTGTTTTTGTTTCCTCGTATTTTCGTTTCTCTTCGGTTTACGTTTTCTTGTGGTTTCGTTTTCTGGTTGTCTCTTTTTCTTTATGTCTCGTATTATCTTTTTCCTGTTTTCTTCTTTTCTCGCTAACTCTTTTTCTCGTGTTCTTTATTTACGTTTTCTCCTGTTCTTGTTTTCACTTTTTCTCGTTTTCGGATGTTTTCTTTTTCTTGTTTTTTTCGTTTTCTCGTATTCTCGTTTTATATTTTTCTCGTTTTCTCCTTTTCATGCGTTCACGTTTTCTCGTGTTTTGTTTTCTCTTTTTCTTGTTTGAATGTTTCTCGTTTTCTTGTTTTCTCTTTTTCTCGTTTTTTTCTCATGTTCGCGTGTTCTCGTTTTCCCCTGTTCTCGTTTTTTTGTGGTTGCGTTTTCTCGTGTTCTCATTTTCTTGTGTTTTCTTTCTCTCGTGGTTTTGTTTTCTCCTTTTCATCTTTTATTGAGAGGTGAGGCTGAGTGCCACGAATTTAGAAGAAAAAAGGCAAAAAATTGAAGTAAAAATGAAACGAAAAAAAAAAAAAAACTCAGATATATACAGAATAACGTGGCGGAGGGCCACGGGCGTCAATTAGAAGGAAAAAACAAACAAACGTTTAAGCTCGAAAACGAAAACAAGAACACGAAAACGAGAAAACAAAAAAACGAAAACGAAAAAAACAAAACACGAGAAAACGAAAATACAAAAATCGAAAACACGTGAAAACGAAAACACGACACCACATGAAAACGAGAACACGAGGGAACGATAACACGAGAAAAAGAGAAAACGAGAAAATTAGAACACGAGAAAAGGAAAAAACGAGAACACGAAACCACGAGAAAACGAAAACACGAGAAAAATAAAACATGAGCAAACGAAAACACGAGAAAACGAACGAGAATACGAGATAAAGAGAATGCGAGAAATCGAGAACACCAGAAAACCAGAACACGAGAAAAGGAGAAAACGAGAAAATGGGGAAACGAGAAAAGCAGAAAACGAGAAAGGAAGAAAAGGAGAAAACGAGTCAACGAAAAAAGAAGAAAACCAAAAAAAGGAGAAAACGAGAATACGAGAAAAAGAGAAACTAGAATGGAAGAAAACGAGAAAAGGGGAAAACGAGAATACGAGAAAAGGAGAACACGAGAAAAGGAGAAAACAAGAAAAGGAGAAAACGAGACAACAAGAATACGTGAAAACGAAAACACGAGAAAAACGATAAAAAGGATACCGAAACGGAAAGACAGAAACACGAAAACGGTGACGAAAAAACGAAAACGGAAAAACGAAAATGGAAAAACGAAATCGGAAACGGAAAAGCGAAAACGGAAAACTGGAAAGCGAAAACGGAACAAATATATAGGTTTTATAACCAGTATAAATCAAGTTAGAAATGGTTACTGAAGGTTTCTAGACACAAAAAGGTTCTAACTTAAGCTCAAAAAAAAAAAAAGAAAAAGGTAATTGAATTTTCAGTACTCACCCCCCTCCCCCACAAAATAAAATACAGTTTTGTAAATTAAATTGACAGTATAGGTTGACTTAGAATCAATTACTGAACATTTCCAGAGAGAAGGAGCGAGATAGGAGCGAGCGAGAGCGAGAGAGGAGCGAGCGAGAGAGCGCGAGAGACCGAGCGAGAGCGAGAGTCCGAACGAGAGGCGAAATCGAGCGCGAGAGCAAGCGAGGGAGCGAGAGCGAGCGAGCGAGAAAGAGACAGAGAAAGAGAGACAGACAGAGAGAGAGAGACAGACAGCGAGCGAGAGCGAGAGGCGAAATCGAGCACGAGAGCAAGCGAGCGAGAGCGAGAGAGCCAGTGCGAGCGCGAGCAAGGGAGAAACAGAGAGAGAAAGAGAGAGAAAGAAAGAGACAGAGAGAGAGACAGACAGAGAGCGAGAGAGGAGCGATTGATGTAAACATTTTGACTTATTAATATACTCATAATCAATGTAAAATATAATTTTGACTTATCACAAATCATCTAGCGGAAGGGATCATCAGATATAATCATAAATTAATTTGAGTGTGTAATCAGTTTGTTAAAAACTTCAGAAAATCCAGATTTAAAAATCGCTCATAACAAAAAAGCAGCTCTGTAGACACAATATTAGTCAACAATTTTCTCTGCCATAGGCACGTGCCTCCTGTGCCTAAGTGTAAATCTGCAGATACATATACTCTAAATTGTACCCCTGTAAGTGGGGCCCATGGCACGTGCCATGTCTGCCATACCATTGATACGTCTGTGCTTAGATATTTCATTTGTTAACATATGAATGAAATAATGTATAGAAATTTAAGGCAAATATTCTATTTTATTCATTACAGCTATTTACTAACTTCTCACCATAGTATTTCAACCTTCAACCATTCGATGTGAGAAACTTTATGTTTGTAGAATAGACATTTGGCATAACATTTTCCATCTATTCATTTCTTAAAAATAACAAGAGTGGATTTCTTTCATTTGTCTTATATTTCAGTTTCGTAATTTGTTGGCTAGTAAATGAATGGAAAATCATTGATGTATCTGGGAAAAGGACAAAAGAAAATGCTGTTTCCAATGCCCTTTTAGTTTGGTGAGGTGATATAATTTTTTAATAATTGTTAGCAATGCACTCTTTCTATTCATTTAATATAAAATTCTGTCTTTTTCACAAAGAGTTAAAATCTTCCATGTAAACAATCTTTTCCAAATTTTCTTTACATATATATCTCCACTTTCAAAGACAAAAATAGAGCTGACATTTTCTGCACTCCACTGTATTTTTCATAACCTACTAAATGAAAGAAAATAATACATTTTCTAAATAAATAACAAATATCATACATGATAGGAATAACATCCAGAACTTCATTAACGTCAAAATATGAACATACAATAATAAAGGTATCAAGTCTAAATGCCTTAACACGCACACCTCACATAATTTGGTGAATCCACCAAAATGGTATGCAAAATAGAATATTACTTAACAAACGGAAATTTTGACTTGCAGAAAAAGTCAACACTTTTTAACTTACACTTTTGCAGTGAGTGTATGCACATGCCCATAAACCATCAACAGTTCATTCACAAGGAGACTATTCCAATCTCCATTTTCAGGTAAACATTTCTGCTACTCTACACAAGAGATGACAAACACACATGACAGAAGATTTGGTCATTTTCAAAACAAATGCATATCCTCCACATTTGTAAAACCATTTGTTATTTCACCTGAATTATGATAATTAAATTTGCAGAATTTGTATGAACAATTCAGGAGATATTGTTACAATTTGCCAACTTTAAAGTTTGGAGGTTTTACTGCTTTCAGTCACTTGATGATGATATTAGCACATACTTTGAAAGGAGTACTATTATTCAGAACAAATCAGTATCATACTGATTAGTCAAAACATTTTCTGGCATGCACAGGAAATGCAAATATTTTGTTTTGTTGACACTGCAGATTTGAGGATGTCAGGTGTTACTTTCTACCTAGAAGCATTTGGCGGAAATCATTGTTGCTTTTAGGCTTTGCAGAATTGTTTTCTGTAGGAGGAGAAGCAGCAGTGGATGACACTTCTGAAGAAGGTGAAACTGTACCAGTGCTAGCTGGAGTTGAAACTGATCCTGATGTCCTTTGCAGAGCTCTGGGTACAAACATCTGTGTTCGACCTCGTCCTCGCCTGCAACATATTTATAAATGCTAATGAATCTTTTTGAATTTAACAAATTTAATAATATATTGGTTATTGTCAAATACCAACAAAATAGAATGATATCTACTAGATAGAAATCATTCAATCACCATCCACCACAAAGAATATTCAGCTATTTACTCAGGAAGGCCTTCACCACTATGGATGTTGAATCATTAAGACCATATGGCATGTATGTGAAACCTATTATGGAATCTACACAAGTGTGGTCTCTTCACTGTCAATCACTCGTGCATTTCTTGGAAAAACGCAGAGAAAAATAACAATTTCACAATAACTATGACTATTAAAAGACACGAGAAAAAACTGAAACGAATTTTTTAAAACCACTGAAAGAAGAAACACTGGCACAGAGAAGAAAAGAACAGGGTGGCAGACAATCCTTAAAATTCATAAACATTTTCTATAATGACACGGGTCTGGATCACTCTTTTGTTACAGTTTTGTTCAGCTTAACATCTCTTGAAGTGCTTAAAAAAAAGCATATACCACCTCGCATTATTTCTAAATTAGAAATTTTTCAAAATTTAGAGAGTTCTGAAGCTTATGCATTTTCTTTTAAGTGTCCTTCGGTCTATCCCTGGAAAAAATTTGACATTGAAAAAGAAACATTTGGAATGGATGTTGAGAAAAGTAGTTCATAATTTGCTTTAAAGAAATTATGCAAAAACTATTGTTTTTTCAAAAAAATGTTCATGACTATTTTTATGGGTCTGATATTTTAGAAAAGATTTTATTAAAAAATCTCTTTCATGAATATTGTACATTTGCAATATTCCATTTTGGCAATTTTCAAGTTTGCTGGAAATGGACTAGCACCACTTTTTATACTGTCATTACGTTCATACAAGGAGAACATTGTAAGAAAAAACTGTAAAAATCGCAAATATTTCATGAAAAATTATGCAAAAACTTCTCATATTTTTGAAGAATATGTTATTATGGTATTTCAAGATCTGTCTTTAAAGAACAGATTTCATTAAGGAATTAAACCTTGTCTTCAATATAGTAGTTATAGGAAGATGCCGAAAAAAAATGTTAACTATTGCAATTTTTTAAAAAGAAGAGATTTCAATGAAAATTATCTTTTCATCCTTATGCTATATGAGGACGAAGTTTAATCCAAAACTTTGAAACCATTTTTGAGAAAGTTTTGAAATTTATGTAGAGGTTTCATGTAAGGTATCTACAAAAATTATCTATTAAGATAACAATTTTGTGTGAAAGAGCCTGTTCAAATTTTGCTTAGAACTGATTACTTGAACATGCCGTAAATGTAGATAAGTGAGTGATTACTTTACATCTCTCCTGTAAAATGTGAAGATAGAGAACAGGTCTATTTACAATAAAAGTGAGCATTTATTGCCAGATAGTTATTTGCATCAATGAATTAACCTTTTAACAACTGCTTTGTTTCTCTTTTCTATCAATACTTCTAACCTCCCTTTTACTTTCTTGATACTGTTTTTGCAGAAAAAGGAATGTATGGTAATTCTGGGAGGAAAAAACGACACTTTTTGACATAAAAACTGTTATTGCTAGACACTGCTAACGAAAAAGTAGAAAAAATCTTGTCCCTGTTTATAGTAAATTATTTCCTCTAACACCTTGTGTCAGAGTTCATATTTTGGAAGTCCTTGATCCGAAAAATCGATTGACGGCAAAAAGTCTATGAACAATGCTATGGTTTAAACCACTCAGTCGATTGTCTCCAAAATTGATATTCCCTAATTGATCTGACTGATGTCGAGGTTCCTTGAATTTGAAAAAATTATTTTAATTTTGGGGATACATTACATAAAGCCCCTGCAAATTTTCAATAATAAAAAAAAGGCCCCAATTTAAAAAAAAATTGCTGTTGGATAGCATAAAGGCCCTAAAAAATGGTCATTTATATTGAAATCCTTGATTTTTCAAAAACTGCAAAAATTAAAAAAGTGTTTGGCTTCTTCCCACAATTACAATTATTGTTTATTATAATAATTATAAAATATATCATAATTATTATGAAGATAATGTTTTCTTAATAAAATGTATTAATCAAAAACAGATCTTCAAATTAAGTCATGTTCAATATTTCGAAAATATTAGTATTTTGTGCTTAATTTTACTTCAAACATACGCAATCTTCAAATTTTAAACAACTATTTTCTCAGAAATGGCTTTTTTTTCCCCACATACATAGCAAAGACCAGTAAAGAAAGTGAGGTTTGTCCCATTATTGGCACACACTCTATAATTTTCCAAAAACTTTGAAGGGGGGAGGGGGGGGGAAGAAGAGAAAAAAAAAAAGAAAAAAATTGAAATGATAAATTTCAATTTCCTGTGCTTTGTTTGAGGGAGCGACACATTCTCCGATTAGCAAGCAGATACATTTCAGACACCTAACTGTTGTTTATGTGAAAAAGAAAATGATAAAGAACTTACTAAAATAATTGTAAAATTATTATAATGTTCTTGGAGGAAATTTTTATGCTATATACACGTTTTCTCAAATGTACACAATGTGCAAGAACAATTTAGAAGTGAGTAATAT